AGTAATCCTTATTTTCAAATATAATTATACAAAGTTTTATTTAATTATTTTAGTTTTTTATAAAAGTAAATCAGAGCCAAAAAAGTATAAAAACATAGACAAATTTGCCTGTGTTTTATTACAATCTAAGGGATAGCTAGTATATATTCTTGTTAATGTAACAAAGTCAGAGGTAGCCCTGTAGTTGCCCTGGTATTCGATCCAAAGTTAATAAAAACATGCCAGACTCCAAAGTAGTTATCTTAACATTAAATAATAAAATAAAATAAATATAATAAAAATATTATAGAATTATAGTTTATTATTAAAAAATACAAAATAAAGAGGCTTTTTAACAAGAAATTAATCAAAAAGAAGAGTTAAATATACTCAAAAGTGATGTAAATATTCAAAGAAATAATTGTGAAGCATACATTGATGTTCCTCTGCCTTGAAGAAAAGGCAGAGTTTATATATTTTTTGATAATGCTATATAATAATGATATAAAATAATACTATATGCAAATTAATACCTGGAGAACCAGATAAACTGAACAGAAATGTTCGGCAAGACACTCCACCAACCAGGTCACCAGAGGAGTAACCAAAGGAAAAGAACTTAATCATGAAACCAGGAGCAGGTTATAGCCCTTCTGGGCTATCTAGATTGGTAGTTTGGAATAGCTGAAAAATCAAAAAAAGTCTGTAGATATACTGAAGTTTGGGTAAACTCTATAAGAGCAGTAGTAGGTAACTGTAGCAGCCTCGGCTCACAAGTACTTGTTCTCAGATTCGGCGTAAGTTATCGAAGACGACTAGACAATATAGCAATAGTAGGTACCGGACTGCTTTAGCAAGTGATGTACTTAATGATGAATTGATTAACTATGCCGGTAGTCCTATAGGTGAACGCAATGATCTTGGAACTTGGACTGACTTATGTATCATATGTTTTGAGTAAAATTAGATGGATTGACATAGGAAACTTAGATCAGAGAGTTTAATTGAGTAATTCAAGTAATAGTGGATTACAGATACAGCATTTAGTATAACACCTAGTACATAGTGTTACTATTGTTTTGGGAGAGTGTATAGAACTATCGGCACAATTTAACTCCAATAGTTAACTTATATGTTCTTTGTATAGAACTCAAGGTATTTTAATAATAAATAAATGCGATTATAGTAATAACTCAAACATGTGAGGTTACGTAATTAATCTGTGATCAGAGCACTTAATTATATCTACCAGTAATCAATCAGGTAAATAAATCAAGTTATGTAATTGTAATTAAATAAATCAGTAATATCGATATGACCGATATTAACGTTAAGAGTTGATACTTATAAGGTAATAAGGTAATAGAGTAATCAGGTAATAAGATACTAACAAAATGTATAATACGATCGTGAAGAGCCTTCACGGTAAAATAAGGGAAATAAATACAATAATACAACGGTAAACTTATATAACATCAATTCGAGAAATCAATTCTTAATACTCCTATATTAAAGACAATGAAATCTAAAGCTTTATTTGAAGAGTGAAAAGACAGCTCTTTTATACTTTCGAAATATATGGAAGGCTTACTACAAAATTCACTTCTAAAGTTTAGCTCTATATTTTGTTGTTCTAACGTTATCTTTTCATCCAACCTTAGCCTGTACAGAGCTAAACCCTCTAAGCCAATTTTACCAATATATTTCTAAGCTTTTCCAGACCCAAACCCTGGGTCTTACAATAACAAACAAATAAAAAGAAATCTATAGATATAAAATAAACAAAGATGACGAAAAAATAATTATTTGTACAGATCTGAACCTTCTAAGCCTTCGCCACAACCCATCCTTACAGTATACACATTCTCGTTATTACAAGTCACGATGTTTCAAGGAAAAAGTGTGACATACCCCTCTTGTTAGCTATGAGCTCCTGCAAACACCTAATCAAACGTCAACAATTATTCAATTTCCTTTTGACTCCCTAATCGAGCTTCTTTCAGTAATATATTAAAATTTTCAATATTCATTTCTAATAAAATATTAGTGGATAAATGACAAGTAGTCAGTAAATTATGGGCATCACATATGTAATAAAGACTATAAACACGATGAGTAATCCTCAATGTATTTTTATAACTTCGATAGGTAAATCGATCCTTCATTTCTCTCTTAACTTCTTCACTCCAATCATACATCGCTAATCTTTCTCCCAACTGATAATAATGCTGGAGCAAGATAGTACGATCTAATCGATAGAGTTGGATTCGAATGCAAAGATAATCTATTTGTTGGTTCCAACTTGTACCTTCGATCTTACAAAGTTCTTTCGCAGGATCACCGATTCGACGAAGATCCTCAATAAAGAGAGGCATACGAGTTTCCACTAAATCATTATTAATTTCTGGTGCTAAATTAATAGGAACCTGGTCTCCTTGCCTATCAAGAAATTCAATAGTGCTATCGGTAATACGAAGAGATTTTACAGAAGACTTCTTAATATACTTCTGTAGGTGAATAAGGAGTTTTAGAATGGGCGTGGTCACTTGAAAAGGTTCCATCTTTTAAGGGGACAGAGGTTAATTCAGACCGTATTTATAAGCTTAAGAACTTCTTTTCACAGAAGGCTCTACATATCGTTTTAACCAGTTTCTGTACACAGCCTTTTTAAGAACTTTTTCTGTTTTACCAAGCTGACTCTTTGTTATTCCACTTATCATTCATAGTTTATATATGCCATTGCCACAAACATCGTGTACATAATATGGACCTGTAAACTTTGATTTCAACTTCGCACTATAAGACATCAACAAGGAAGATTGTTCTAATAATACTTTGTCAACAATTGAATAGCTTTCTATTCAATAGCTTTGATCATGATGTGCTTTTTGTTTGTCTTGAGTTCTCATAATATTATCTTTAGCCTGGAGGCGTGATTCAGTTAATTTCTTCAACAAACTTTCTATTCGTTGCAACAATTGGTTCTGTAATTCTTTTTCAGTAATTACTTTATGTAGATACATTGGAATTACGGTCTCTATGGGTAACAAAGCATCACAACCATATACAAGGAAAAAAGAATCGTAATGAGTAGTAGAATGCCGATTTGTTCGATAAGTGAAAAGTGCTGCAGATACATAATCTTCCCAGTCACTATTAAATTGATCTATACATTTAGCTAAAACTTCACACAACGTTCGGTTAAAACGCTCAACCAATCTATTTGTCTGAAGATAGTAAGCTGTTGACTTTGAACGATGAACATTCATCTTGGAGCATAATGCGTCTACAATTTTATTACAAAAATGAGTTCCTTGATCTGAAAGCAACTCACATGGACTCCTGTGACAACAAATAATATCTTTGAAAAGAAAAGCCGCTACCATTTCAGCATCAGCACTTTTAATAGCATGTGCTTCAGGCCAATGAGTTAAGTATTCAGTTGCTACAACTATATACCTATATTCTTTCGTAGTAACAGGAAGAGATCCAACGATATCAATTCCTATTCGATCAAAAGGTTGACTGATACGAATGGGTGAAGAGGCTCTCTAGTAGTTGGCTTTCCTCTTCTTTGGCATAAGTCACATGACTTAACATAATCCCAAATATCGTTTCCCATCTGTGGACAAAAATATCGGATAATAACTGTCTAGTATATCGCCTCTTTATTGAAATGTCCCGCTAAAGGATCTGAATGTATTGCATATAGAATAGGTTCAACTTCATGCGGTTTTAATATTCATAACGGTCTAAGAGGGTTCCGGGGGTTCCATTTATACAATAATCCTTCTCTAACAAAATAGTGTCGGGTTCTATGTTTTAAGGTTCTAATTTGTGCATTTGTATATTCAGAAGGCACCGTAGACTCACTAAGGTACCCCAGAAATAAATAATAGGTATCTAAATCCATAAAATTCTCCGTTTAATCAAAATATGGGTAATCTAAAATTGATGTCATAAAATTCAAATAGAAGTAAGAAATAAATCTTCAAAAACCGGTGGCTCTAAATTCGTAAGAGACTATCAGCGTTAAGATGTATTTTTCCAGATCTATGAATGATAATAAACCTATACTCCTGCAAGGTCAGGATCCACCTAGCCAGTTGATTTTGGGGTAATCAATGAGAAAATAAGGATTTCAACGCGGAATGATCAGTATAAAGTGTAAAGGGAACTCTGTGAAGATAGGGCCTAAAGTAGAAAACAGCCCAAATGATGGCAAGACACACTTTTTTGTTGCAGAATAATTCTTTTCTGTTGGGATCAAAGAGTGACTTGCATAAGCAGTCACTCTTTCTTTTCCATCATCATCCAATTGAGAAAGAATAGCGCTTAATGCCAAATCTGACGCATCTGTAAAGAGGATGAAAGGTTTTAAAAAATTCGGGTATGCTAAACTGGAGCCGTAATAAGTTTTCCTTTCAATTCCTCAAAAGCTTCTTGATTTTAATTTCCAATGGTATCTAACGTTCTTTCGTAACAACGAATTTAATGGAACTGTGATTCTTGTAAAGTTAGGTATAAATCGTTGATAGTAAGACACTAATCCCAAAAATCTGCGTAATTGCCTTAGATTTCGAGGAACAGGATATTCTTGAACAGCACGAATCTTCTCTGAGTCAGTTAATATCCCTTGCGCACTTACAACATAGCCTAAAAATTTCAATTCTTTACGAGTGAAATAATACTTTTGGGGTTTAATTTTTAAACCCGCTTGCCTTAGCTACAGAAACACTTCTTTCAAATGGTCCAAATGTTCTTCAAATATCTTGGAAAAAATGTTAAGGTCATTGAGGTAAATAACAACGAACCTTCCATTTATATCACTAAAAACTTGATCCATTAACCTCTGAAACGTAGCTGGGGCATTCATAAGTCCAAACGGCATAATGTTGAACTCGTAAAGTCCATATGGTGAAATGAATGCAGTTTTTTCTCTGTCATCTTCAAACATTTCAACCTGCCAATATCCACTGGCTAAGTCTAATGACGTAAACTAAGATGACCTATTTAACACATCTAAAAGTTCATCAACCCGAGGTAACAGATAATTATCTCTAATGGTTACAGCGTTCAATTTTCTATAGTCAACGCAAAATCACATTTTCCGGGCTTTCTGCTTCACTAATACAACTGGAGATGCCTATGGACTCGTAGATAGTCGAATAATTTGTTCGTCCAACATTACATCGATTTCTTCTTTTAAAAATTTCTTTTCTGCTAAAGAATATTGATACGAACATTGTCGCACTGACCAGACATCTTGCATAGGAATATAGTGACAAATAATATTAGTTCATCCTAATTCAGAAATGTTTTGGGCACAAAGATCAAAATTCTCATTAAGCAATTTTAACAACTGTTTGTTCTGATTGTTTTCCAAGTTTCGATATTGTAATTAACTACAGCCCAGCTTCTATTTTCATAGTAGTAATCGAATAAATCTGATATAATTCGATTATCTTTTTCTTGTGCTGAAATAAGACCGGCAACAAGTCCTCCATCATATAATATTACTTTCTCATACGATCGCCCGATATTTCTTTCTTTTTCTGTAATTTCATCCTATTCGGAACCCAATCTTTTTCTAACATTACCTCTTTTATCTTCAAATTCTAGGATCGCGTACAGTTGCTCTTCCAACTCTTCTTCTTTGAATTCCTCATCTTCTTCTTCTTCAACTTCATCATTATCATCCTTACCAAGGTCTCTTATTTTTACTGCTCATTCTTTATCTAATGGCATCTTGGCTAATTTCCGAAACTTAAATGGAACAATAATTTCTTTCTCATTCTAGATCAAAGTCATTTCAGAACTATTTCAGTCAATAGCCGCATTCACCTTAGCTAGCCAATCATTTCCTACAATAGCACAGTATGAATTGGCATCAGTTACAACTACATCGATTGGAATATCAACGCCACCGATATTGAATGGAAACTTGAAAATTTCTCCAATAGCATGCTTGCTTTCACCATGAATATTGACTATATTTACTACTGATGGTCGTTCAATTCTTATATCAAGATCATTTAATAAATGTGAAGTAACAACACTTCCAAAAGATCTGCTATCGATAATTAACGGAATTACTTGATTATATACCTTAGCATCGCAATATAAAGCCGTCAATTTCAAAGTAGGTTGTATATTAACATTAGCTTGAACTTTTTTACGACCTACAACTCTTTTCTTTTGTAGAGATCGTACTAATTCTTGTCTCATAGATGCTGTGACTTGTAACAATTGCCCGATAGTTATATTAGCAGGTTTATCCCTTACATCGGCTACTATCGAATATGGGTGACTAAAGAAGAGATTTAAGGTAAATCGTCTTTAATAATATTCATTCGCCAAATAACAGGAGCCTTCTTTTAACCCATTTTTACATCTTCTTTCTTTTTATTTACTTTAGGCAGTTCAACCTTTTTTACCTCAGCTGACTTAGCAAATTCATTCTGGTCTTCGTTTTGAGTACCCGGGTCTTGTAATTCTTGACCTTTACGATTCTCATAAACTTCTTCTATTTCTACATCTGGATCTTTAGTACTTTCTTCTTCTAGATCGATTAAATCAGTTGTTTTCGTTCCAGTTGACTTTTTCCTGAAAATTGGTATATTTACTATAGGCTTGGAACAAATTGGCCTTTCGGCTGATAAAAATAATGACTCATCTTCTGGAATCCCTAAATATGAGGCTTGATCCCCGGCATTATTAAAAACGTCTGGATTATTATTCATTAATGCCAACAGGGCTTGAAGGGTTTCTTGAGGGTCATTTCCATTAAGAGTAGGATTATTATTATTAGTTACTGATGGTCAGTTATTAGCAGGAGGATTATTACGATTATTAGGCGAATCAGGACAATTTCGACTATAATGTCCAGTATGACCGCAAGTGAAACATATCACAGTTGATGGAGCAAAACTTCCAGACCGAGGCCTAGATAATAGCCTTCGTTGATCCTGAAGTTGGGTCATAAGCTTATCAATCGAATTCATTAAACTTTTCAAAGCCTCTACCGTTTCATTTGAACTAGTGAGGTTAAGGTTTGGAGTACTGGGAAAACCATAGGAAGAGTGAAAAACTGCTGGTGTCGCATAGACAGTCTGGGTAGAATTTTGTTTGTAAGCATTTTCGAATGCCTTGGCTCTAACATATGCCTCTTCTAACATATTAGGAGTTAACGGTGACACGGCTACAAATAATTCTGGTCGAAGTCCATTAATAAACATCTGGGCTTTAGCCGTATTAGGATACTAATAACCTTCTGACTCTACTCATCGAAGCATCTCTTCAATAGCCATATGATATTCATCTACACTTTCACTTAACACTTGTTTTCTCTGAGTTAGTTGTGCAAACCATTTTCCTTCTAACTCAGGTGTTCTGAATTTATTAATAAAATGGGTTGTAAAACTTTGGTGAGGCACCAAAGGATCATGCCATCTATCGATTATAGGTTGTTGGTTTCTTCTCGTAGCCCATCATGTTGCAGCTGGACCTTTTAGCATTAGAATGATCACAGAAATCTTTCGAAGCGGTGATATAAGGTTGG